TGAAAGTTGAAACTTGAAACTTGAAACTTGAAACTTGAAATTTGAAGTTTCAGTTGAAAGTTGAAATTTCAATTGAATTCAAGTTTCAAGTTCGACACTACTGATTATTTCGGGGGAGAGGGGTGATAAAATGAATTCATTTAAAACTTTATTGCTTCCCCTAAAAAATTGAGCGTACGCCGTCCATGCATATACATATATGGTATGAATAGACTGATGCAAACTTTGATTACCAGAAAATTACTCTTAAACGCACTGTTAGCCCGAATGATAATTATATCAGTTAATAACTCAACAAGCTCTACAAATTGACATCACTAAAATTTTAAAAGCGATTTATCAATTCGTTGTCTTCTCTCATAAGATCAAAATTAATCTCACAAATATCTACTTTGAATGCTAAAAAGGATTTTCGAAATCTAGAGAAATGATTGGACGATTTCTAAAAATCTTTTTTTTACAAAAGAATTTCTTCGTCAATCAAAAAAAAATGTAGCAATATAAATACTTACTTTGTAACGGTAGGAAAGAAATCTTCACAGAATGCAACTTTTTGAGATAACAATCTGTTTCAAAGAAAAAAATTATCATAGACTAACTTTAACATAAAAATCTTTACTTTTTCACAGCAAAATTTGCTATTTGTTTCATTATTTGAAATGTTTCTTCAATTTTTCTAAACATTGTAAAATCATGTACATATAAACGAGTACATACACGCATTGTTTCTGATACATAACTATGTATACGTTCAATTGACTATAAATAAATATATTATTATCATGAATAAAATATTTAATATAACTTACAATAATACCTGCAAATTTAATAACAAGTATTATATCTTTTCCTAGTATATTTGAATAAAAACATAGATAATTTACAGATAAATAAAGTAAACCTTGCTGAGATACACGATCACGCCAATAAGAACATGAATAATCTTTAAAAAAAAAACATATTTTATAAAAAAAAAAAAAAAAAAAAAAAGATGAAAATTGACTTTTTAAAGCATACTTGCTGATTACAAGTTTTTCATTGACTGATATATTAAATAATTTCCAATTTTTTTTTGTTTCATTCATTCGAAGCCTTGTCCTAGAAAATTCAAATATTTAATTTTACAAATTTATTTTTCTTTACTGCACTTGAAATGGTATCACCATAAATATGCAAACTTGAACGATCGTCCTCATCTACTTCATCCGAACCATCATCGAAAACTTCATCTTGATAATGGAAAGTATCATTTTGCACATAGTACTTTTTTGGTTGCCGTGGACTCAATACGAATGTTTGCATGAAACGACGTATTGGATCACCATTATTCGATAATTCATCGGTAACCTAAAGAAAATATAAAAAACAATGTTATTTTTTTATGTTTAAGATTTTCGTTGGGACAAAAAAAAATTCTAATTAATAAAATTAACCTGAACGACAACTCCACCACCAATAGTTGAATGTGAATCGATCTGACGAATTTTTGCATGACAATCCTGTAAATTAAGATCATTAATTCGTTGAGAAATATTTTTCGGACCGATAACACGTTGTTCAATACAACCTAGTCGATCAACACCACCATGAATGAATGTATTATCCGTAGAATAAAATTTAAATTTAAAGAGAAAAAAAATAAATATATTGAATAGAAAAACAACAATCTAGAGTACCGATGAAGCATATGAGAAGCCTCATGTAATACTGTATAATACTGATGGATAAATGCATGGCATACCTAATTAAATAATATGAAATTCCTAATGAAAACAAAGAAATAAACAGATACATCATACGAGATCGGACTTGTTTGCACCATATTAGTAGTTTGTTGAAGAGATAGGATGGAATGAGATCGCTATTCGTTTAGCTGGTGTTCCCCCTCATAAAAAGTGTTCCACTGTGTGATGTTAACATCACACGGTGGAACACCAGCTTTAATACTACTAGTGGAACACCAGCTAAAGGAATACCGATGAGATCTAACATCAAAGAAAGGTGATCGAAACAATTCATTTGTTAACAATAGTAACACAATAAATGAGTGAGAGAAAGAGCAAAGACGAACGGACAATAAGTCGGTGTATAGATGCAGTTGCTAACAAAACAGACAAAAGTTAGCAGCACAATGAGAGCTTGACATAACAGAGACCATAGCGGTGCGCACAAGATACTTGTACAGTATTATTTGTATTAGATGTAATACTTGTCGATATTGTTTCGTCGCAAAAATTACATCGAAAATGAAATAAATTCTTCACAACTATGAAGAAACAATTTTGTATTGCATGATCAAGTTTTTGTTTCATATATGAGTTTTTTTGCTTGCACATTCTACAATGACACAGAATAGATGAAAGCAAAATCATATCTATCACTTCATCGTCATCAATAATTTTATGAAAACAAGAATTGGATAAATGATAGAAAATATTAAATACTTCGATTTGTCATTGTTATTTATAAAATAATATATTTAATTTTGATCTTGTTTTATGTGAATTTTTTGTGAAAGACGATATGAAAAAAAATACTTTAATTATATCCACTACTTATTGTGTGATCATTGTCTAATGTATAGATCGACCGTCCGTTTGTTTCTTTTTTTTTTGGATATATTCATATTGCGAGATTGATCACTCTCCATTATTGTATAAGAAAAATAAAAACGATTAAACAATACAATATAATAGCGATATGAACTGATCGAAGTGGACGGACGATACAGCATATATAAAAGTATCGAATAAATGTATATACAATAAATCAATGAAACATGAAATTGAATGAACTGCCACATAAACTGTTATTTAAAATTTCAACTTATTTGACACTTTTTGACATTGGATACTCACTAATCGGTGTGTGCAATCGTCTGGATAAATTGCTTGCTGAAAATAAAAACGATCGTCGTACACTGGCTTTCCATAATGATCATTGTTCATATTCTCTTTATCGAGCTTTTCTAGATGATCACAATGGTTTTCGTACACGTTGTTTGAGTATTTTTATTCGTTCATTAATACTGGATGGTTTTTGCAACCTAGTCTGCGCTTATGATATTCTCTCTCGATGGGCTAATACCACACCTCCATTCTTGCCTTCTGTACGGGAACTCACTCTCTCTAATATGGAGTTTTTTGAAAACAAAGAAATAAACAGATACATC